ATCGTCCAAGCAACTTATTAGTAGCGTCGTAACATTTACGGTTTCTGTCATAATGGCTAACGTCCATATGCTTTTAAGTTCGTTAAAATAATCCAATAGATGTTCTGTATCAGTGTGTATAACAAAGATATCTGGGCAGCATATACAAAAAAGAGTCAAACAAAAAAGAGTCATACCTTTGTACTTCTCTCTCAAACATCATACTACAATGATTTTATACGAAGCTTTGAAAGATCTGAAATATTCATTCGAACATAAACTGGCTGAATAGACTTTAATTCTTTCTTTAGTTTATCTACACTTTCTAGGTTTTCATTTATCACATGTCTATGTTTCCATGTGCGCGCATCAACTTTTTTTCGAAAACGTTCTGGTGTATCAACCAACTCGAAGTTAATGTGTTCTCTTGCATTATCCGTTGTTTTTTCATAAGCACTATAATTCATTAGCTTCTAGAGGTCTTTATCAAAATCGCTTGATGCCTTCTTTCTTTTATCCGTGTTAAAGTGAAAACATGGTCTCAACCAATCTGTTTGGTTGAACACAACTCTGTTTATCTTCTGTGTTTTCAACCCTTTTTTAATAAGTAGTGCTCAAAATCCGTTTCTGTGTTTTCTTGTCTTTTGGTTCTTCGTTATGACTGTACGCCTTGTAGAATTCTTTTCCGTTTTTCACTTAACACCTTTGATTCATGATGTCAGGCGCTGGTGGATAATCATTGCGGTAGCCATGCAATCTTTTGGATATTCTAAATCAGCATCCAATATGTGAGCTAGATTTGTGTCGTGCGCCCTATTTGATATTATCTTCTGTAAAACCTTCAACAATTGAATCTCTTTGTAAGGTAGTTTTTAGCACATTGCGAAACCGTACAAGCTTTTTGCGTCTAGATAACTTGTGTATGTTGAAGGTCTTGTGCTAATTATCATATAAACCACCACGTATCTGTAATTTGCTTCAACGCGTTCAACAGCGCATCGACACATTCTACCGTTAAGACTTCGCAACCATTTTCTAGATCTTCATCACATATTAAGATCAAATCAAATGTTACACCCGCTTTTAATGACACAGCATTCCAAGCGAAAGAGCAGGGACTAAACTTTAATCTCCTAAACATTTGGTTCAAAGGTGTTCGAAGACATTTGTCAATAATAGAACATCCGTTCTAAGATGGAGGTCGTGATGCTCACAGAGGTTCTTAGTGTTTCCATATGAGTATATGAGTTGTGCTTTTTCATGGTCTTCATCCTTGATATCGTCTTTTGCGAGTTTACTGCAGAAATACCTCGTTGGTGGTAATTCCGGTTAACTGAACTTACTAGAATCATTCACATGACCATCCGGATAAATGCCCTTATCTATTGGTAAGTCTAAAACATAACCATCTTCAATATATTCACTGTTTTTTGCTTAATGTGAAATCCATTTTTGCAATTTTCCATTATTCTCATATTTAGTTAACTTTACAAGCTTATCTAATGATGAAGATGAGAACTAAAACTATCTGTGACTACAAAGTTGTCGTAAACAAGACGTAAAAAACCTCGGTATGTTGTGCTATTACGCTGGCATTGTCTTTTCTAGTATTTAGTTTGTCAAAAAATGAAATTACAAGTTGTGCATCATAATTTTCTGATGTCATGAAAGAAGATGGTATCTAAAAGTGCCTAAAACAATAATCTACATTACAGCTATCATGAGCGGAACGTCTATATAAACCTGCAAAATGACAATGATCCCATACAATCCTTTTATCTTTGCTGTTTTTGAATGACCCACCACAACGAAAACATTTCGTGCGTTTCTCAAAGTCTTCTTCTGCCTGGGGTGGTATAATTTCATCTTTTGGGTGTATGCGTCTTCTCAACAATTTCCTCTCTTATTTGATTCATTGTTGCACAGGAATCTATCTATGCAATCTTCACCTCTCTAAATATGTGGTTTTACTCCATTACTAACAGAACTTACAACATCTAACATAAAACCACTTGGTGCATACTTCTGCTGTGCAGGTGACTGATCACATGGATTGCCGCTGGTAATCCTCTCAAGTCTTTTGCGGCAGGGAAGGTAGTTGACGCCCATGGTCCTCCAACCGCTTAACCCAGCTGGATTGATAGTTGCTGGCTTCTTCGTTGTTCAGCATTGGCTGTGTACTGATAGGCGAGTTGTTATTCCAGCTTCCGAGCAGCTCTGTCACTGCGCCTGTGAGTGCGCGCCTGCAAGTGCTAGTCGAACCTGGGGGTTCATCTGGTTTATTGCTGGCATCGTGACTGGGCTGGGAGTGTATCATGGCTACGTATCTAGACCACACAGTGCTGCCTGCCTTCGCCGTAGAGAACAAATTTGTCTTGATCCAGTACCCGGGAGAAAGGAAGTGGCACGAACGATTCGTGATTCTGAGACCGACTCCGACCAACGACCCGCGAACCATTGGATGGTGCGTCACCGCCACTCCGGACGGTGATGTTTATGGTGAACCTCTCACCTTCGCGGGATGGCTCAGGGGGAGCTTAATGCCTTGCAGCTGGAGTTTGATCAGACCGGTGCTGGACCCATTGTTGCTGCGCATTTAGGCGGTGCTGCGGCCGCCCCGCCTGCCGTTGCTGCTGTTGGGCCGGTGTTGACTCCAGTAGCTGGGTTCGTTTGGGTGGTTGCCGTTGCCGAGGGCAGCCGCGCAAGGGGCAGTTTGGTTCCCATGGCCCAGGTGGTGGCTGGCCACCAAGCTGGGTCAAGGGAGTCGTGGGTTTGTCTGATGGCTCAGTGATCTTCGTCGAGAACATTGCCAATCATGCGCTTGATGGTTACATCTCTGCCACCCAAGCTGGTGGCCCCCCTCTGCCTCCTGTCCCTGCGCCCCCTGTTGGAGCGGCAGGTGCATTGGCCATGGGCGTTGGGGATGATGCACGTACTCTTGCTGTCAGGTATGGTACTGATGGAAAGCGGCGCCGAGAGCTTCGCGATGGTATCGAGCTGGCTAGCGAGAGTATTTGGGCCGACTGGCCCATCAAGGGCCCTCGAACAGCCAAATGGGTTGGCCAGTACTTTGTTTCAAACGGGGGTAGTCCCATGAGCATGCATAACACTTGGAAGGTGAATTGTAAGCTTCAACCTTCGGATGCTGGAGTTCTTGAACATGAGTCCATTTGCAAAGCCTTGGAGTTGGCAGTCGAATACGACCAGCTGAACATTGGTGAGCTTGCTACCATTGAGCTGCTGTCCCGTCGCTTGCAGATGATTCAGTTCCGTTGGAAGGAGAGGATTTTGGGCTCAGCTTCGAGTGGCACGGTTGATGACGAGTCGCACTTTTTCTTGGGGGTGGATCCCACCCGTGGGAATCTGTGTATTTGCCCGGCCCTCAACACGTGGCTCGGTGAGGAGTTGCACAAGGAGGCCCAGGCAAACAAAGAACAGAGAAAGGCCCGCGAGGAGAGAGCCCTTTTGCGGGGCAACAAGACAAAGTAGCGCCACCCCGGGGGTGATTTTTGTGACACGCGGTGGCCTTCTCGACTCGGGTCTCCTCGTTGGTTCAGCGAGGGTCGTGCGTTCCTTCCCTCGCATAGCGCGAGCTCAATTTTGAGTTTGCCATCATGCTCGACACTGGTAGGCAACGGGACCTCCTTCCTTTGCGCCTTCCAGAGGCCGAGTGTGGGGTGCAGAACCGGGGACCTCAGTCGAGGGACCCGGCAACGAATTCTCCGGAGGTTGGCAGCTGATGCCTGGGTTCGCGAGGGCGTCCAGACTTTGAACTCTCTCTATGGTGGTTCGGAGGCTGGGATCTTTGCCCCTGTTAGTTCTCAGGCTTCAGCACTGAGCGGCCTGGCACAGAAGTACAGACTTGCTGGGCCTCCTCCCCAATCTCGTCCCGAAGAAGCCCTCCAGGCGCTTCTCGGCTCGATGTCCGTCTACTCGTTGGACAACGTCGAGTGCAACATTGCCAGCTATGACGAGGCACTTGTCTCTTGGCCGGAGCCGGGGAGCCGTCCGGTTCGGATTGCGGAACACCTGGCTCCGGATGTTGGAAAACTTTTGTCACTGGCAAATGCTCATGAGCTTCTTGCCGATCCAGCTGCACTGAGTGGCTGTGAACTTGTGAGGCCTTACGTTGACCCAGTGCTGTTGCATTCGCCTGTACATATGGGTAGATTTGTCGGCCGCCTTTTTAAATCCCGAATGCTTCAATTTGTCCCAGGAAAACTTGATCATACTGTTGGTGTTTTCTTTGTTCGTAAGAAGAGCGGTAAGCTCCGGCTTATTTTGGACACTCGGAGGGCAAATAACTTCTTTGTGAAACCTCGGTCCTCTCAGCTCCCTACGCCAGCAGCCTGGTGCAGCATTGAGGTGGATGAATGCGACACCCTTTATACGGCCGCTGGTGATGTTGCTGATGCCTTTCATCGGATGGAGCTCCCACCTCATCTTCGTCGATTTTTCAGGCTGCCTGCCATCAAGTGCCGCTTCCTGGATAAGAGTGCTTGGCCCTCAGGCTGTGGACCGGAGGATTATGTCACACCGGAGTATGCTACTTTGCCTATGGGCTGGAATTGGTCTCTCTATTTCTGCCAACAACTCCTTGAATCTGCTGCCTCCCACGCTAACCTGGCCGATGTCAACCGCATCGAGGATCGTACTTGGACAGGCCACGTGGCAGGTGATCGGGTTGTGCGTGCGCAATATGTGGACAACTTCTTTGTGAGCGGCACAATCCTCCTTTGACTGCATGAGGCACATCTTGGAGGAGTGGGGCTTTGACATTCATGAGGTCACCGAGGCGCAGCCCGTTGTGCACGGCTTGGGCTTAGTCATTGACGGTGCCTCCAAACGTGTCTCGCTCACCCCGGCTAGGGTCTGGAAGCTGCGGCTGGCGTCCTTGGCTCTGGGTCGTAGGCGGGTTCCTCCGCCAGCTAAAGTGATCGAGAAGGTCGTAGGCCACTTCACGTTTGCTATGGTGAGGAGGGAGTGCCTGTCCGTGTTCTCCGCGGTGTATAAGTACATTCGCTGTGAGAATCCTTCTGGGTCTCTTTGGCGCTCAGCTCAGCGGGAGATCCTCCAAGCATCTTCAATCTTGCTTTTGATGTGCACTTCACTTGACTTGCCCTGGAGTTCAACTATCGTGGCTACTGACTCTAGCGAGGTCGGGTAGGGTGTGTGTGAAAGGGTTCTGGACTGTGAGGGTGCCGCATCAGTTGGCAGGACTTGTGAACAGTGGCGGTACGCTGTTGATGGAGCTATTCAGGCCCGGGCTCATGCGCTTGGAGATTGCTCGGACACTCTTGACGAAGGTGAGCGATATGACTGTGCCCGCGTTTGCAACTCTGACTTTAGGGAGGTTGGGGCCACAGTGCTTGATCCTTCCGCCTGGCACGTTGTCTTCAGTGGGGTTTGGCAGCACCGCGAGAACATTCTCAGGACGGAAGGTCGCGCTATGCTCAGTGGTGTCCGCCATCTTCTTCGATGCCGCAGGCATGCGGGACTCCGCCATGTGCTCCTTGTTGACAACCTTGCACTTGCCCTAGCACGCAACAAAGGTCGAGGCTCTTCATCATTGACAAACCGGACATGCCAACAACTATGTGCCCTGGCTCTCGCAAGCGATTCAAAGTTCCATGTGCGTTGGATTCCCTCTGAGCGCAACTGTGCTGATCGCCCCTCACGGGAACCATGGCTCAAGGCGACCTGTGTTACGGCTCCGGTTGCTCCCGCTCCTGGTGATGGCTTGGTTGATCCTTACGCTGGTGATGGCTTGGGAGACGCGAACGCTTCGAGCAACTGCAGCTCCGCATACTGCGGTCCATGTGAACAAGAGGCCGCGCTTGACGGGGCCCAACGTGGCTCAGACCGAGCAAACTCTCCTGGGGGCCCCCTCCCATTTGGAGGTCAAGGTGCGGAGGGCCTCGACGCAGGAGCGCTACAACACCACTGTGGAGACCTTCCTGTTCTGGTGCCAAAGCTACTTCAGCCTCTCACAGGACTACGACTCGCTCCTCACTGCGTACCTCAACGAGCTATATGCACAGGGAGCCGACGTGTCCGTCGCGGAGTACACTTTCGCCGCCTTTCGGTACCGGTTCCCCGATTACGGAAAGTACGGCTCAAGGACTTTGGCCCGGGCCATCCAGGTTTCGAGGGTTACCGAAACTTGGCTCCACCCAAGATGCGTCTTCCAACACCTCGTGTGGCTTTCGCGGCTATCGTGGGGGCCCTCTTTGCGATCGGCAACCCCGTGATGGCTTTGGCTCTGCTACTTCAGTGGGATCTGCTCTTACGGCCTGGCGAGCTCACAAGCCTGCGCCCGCGTCAGGTAGTGGCGCCAGCATCTCTGGTGGCGATGCCCAGGTGGGGAATCGTGTTGGCTCCTTCGACAGGCGGCTCAGACGACCCAAGCAAAACCAACGTCTTCGACGAGAGCATCCTGTTGAGCCCAAGAGTCGACTACCTTCTCCCTGCCTTGGCGGCCCTGGTTGCAAGCCGCAAGCAGATGCCCTTCTTGTTCGACTTCACTTGCACTCAGCTCAACGCGTCGTTCAAAGATATGGCCGACCGTCTCAAGTTGGGTGCGTTGGAAGCCACACTTTACGGGAACCGTCATGGGGGAGCCAGCGAGCTGCGTCTCTTGGGGACTCCGCTCAAAGAGATCAAAGCTCGCGGGCGTTGGCAAGCCGACTCAAGTCTGAAGCGGTACGAGAAGGCCACGGTCGCTCAGCAGCAGGTCCACAAGGTCCCATTGGGCACCCAGCTCTACGGCAACTTCGTGGAAAACCAGCTCAAACTCTGCGGCAACCTCCTGGCAAAAGTTGTGTCCTCCAACAGTGCAACGGCCCTGAGCCAGCTTCGTCAGCTCTTCCTGCCTCTCCCCAACGTGTGACGCTGGATGGGCAGATCCGTAAGCACCTGCACAACCTGCTGTATCAGGCTAAGAAGCTTGCTCAGCAGAACTCGTCTCAAGTGTTTCTTGAATTGTTTTCTGGTTCTGGGGCTATTGCCAGACACCTGCGCCGACAAGGCTTCGGTGTAGTCGCTCTCGACACTCGGAATAGCGTGCTCGAAGATCTCTGCCACCCTGCTACTCTTCAGGTTCTTCGCGGTTGGATCTCTAGTGGTTTTGTCCTTGGTGTTTGGCTAGGTACGCCGTGCACTTCGTGGTCAATTGCTCATACCACGCCTGTGGTACGCACACGCAAGTTCATTCTTGGTGTTCCTGGACTGTCAGGCAAGCACAAACATTCAGTTGAGCTCGGCAATGCCACCGCTAAGGTCACTGCGCAGATTATCTCTGCACGCATTGCTTCGTGTGTCCCATGTTTCTTGGAGAACCCGCAAGCCAGCAAGCTGTTCTTAGCACCGGGTATCCGTGTCTTGCGCCAGCATCCTCAATGCCAGGAGTTCATTTCTGATTACTGCCAGTATGGAACGCCCTGGCGCAAGTCCACCAAAGTTTGCACCTGGTTCAGCTCTTCATGTGCGCCACAGCGGCGCTGTCAAGGTCGTAATGGTTTCTGCAGTCGTACCCAAGTTCATCATATTGCGCTCTCTGGCAAGAGCCCGCAACACGTATCCTGGACAAGAATTGCAGAGCCTTACCCATGGAGATGGGCTAAAGCCTGGGCAACTGTTGTTTCCGAGAGTGCTACCAACTGCATTGCGCGCCGCTTGGCTCTTCTTGCTAATATCCTTTGATTTCTTTTCTTCCCTTCCAGTACGTCGTTTCGACAGTGATATCTGGGATCAGTTATGCACCAACAGCTGCGGTGCTCTAAGAGTCTGCTGCTGCGTGCATCCACTCAAAGCTTCGGGATGGCCGCTGCATTGTCTCTCATAAAAAGGTGCGAAATCTGGCACTGAAGTGATCATGTTCTTGATAGGTCCCCTTCGTACCTTCGTCCGACGAGATTGCTAAAACATTCACAACCATCGTAGGTGACATGAGGACGCCGCAAGTTTTTGTAATGCTTTTGGAAAATCTTTCTTTCTTTTTCTTCTGGCATAAATTTTGATTGAACTTCATTGGTCACACAACCCTTTACAGTATGAGAATTGAATGAGGTTTCTTCTCGAAAGCCTCTTTGACAAAATCTACAACGAAATAATTTTGCTTTGTGTTTGTTTGTTTGGCCGCACATAGTCTTATTATAGTCTTTAAGATACACATGATGCACCTCGTCGCGACAGCCTCGTGAGGCATTTGTCGATGCGCCATCAACATCTAACCCCGAAAGGTTAACATGACAAACTGGTTTAACATTTCTTGTTATTCTGTCGGTTCTCATTTTGTTTATTTCCTTATCAAGTGTATAAGCATGAAATGAAAATGTGTTTTGGATAATTTCCTCAAACTGTTGAATGTCTTTTGAAACGGAGAAATGAACACCCCCCCCCATTTTATTAAGCTTTCATGAATCATTACCTGTGCAACTTGCATAAATACATTCCTTCTGGGTGGTCTTCTTTGCAAATGTCCAATTATCTACGCATAACACAGTGCTTCACACAAAATTCATCAAGATTTTGGATGTTAACGCATGCCTTTTCTTGATATTCCTCCAGGTAGTTCCATAAAATTGCTTGCTCTTGTTGGATCACATTTGTCATACTGTATTGCTGTTTTATTCACTTTTTTTAATGATTAATCCTGACCTTTTTGAGGTTCTAGTTGTCAACCAAAGTTTCAATATAGCTGGCCATGTTGCTCATTGCATGGTTCAAATCTTCTTCACTTTAAATACTGAATCTTCTACTTGCTATGGTAGGTGATACTTTGTCTTCGTCATCAGTATGTTCAACTGTTAATCAAGTGTGAGTAAAATCTTCAGGCTTTTGTTTCTTCAAAGAATCAGTTAAGTGTTCGTTTTCAGATTTAAGTCATGATAAACCCTTAAAACCTGAAAGGTTGATACTGGAAATGGAATAGGAATTAGCATCAGATTTTAAGACTGACTGCTGATTAGTTGTTGATGCTTTGTTTTAACAGCATAGCTTTTAAAGCTTGACGAACCCTAATCTTTTCAGAAGCGTCGTTTAAAGCTTCAAAACGTTTGTATTGTGGGTGCTTTAGATAGTTGGTGGGTCGCGCGCGGGGTGCCGTGTGTTTTCGGCTAATTCTCAGGGTTTTGGGGGCTTCAGGCTTGCAAAGAAGCTGCTGCCCGGTTGCCTTGCTAATAACCTCCATTGTCGAAAGCATTCGATTCCCATAACATCCATGCTTCAAACATGATAACGTCCAGTGTTCGAGAGCATTACGTCCATTTTCGACAGCATTCGATTCCCACAACATGCATGTCCAAACCATCAAGACGTCCATTGTCAACAGAATTCGATTCCCACAACATCCCTGCTTCAACCATAATAACGTCCATTGTCGATAGCTTTCGATTCAAAGAACATCCATGCTTCAACCAGAATAGCGTCCAGTGTTCGAGAGCATTCGATTCCCAGAGCATCCATGCCCAAACCATAATGGCGTCCTCATGCAGGCACAGCGACATAGTTCAAAGCAATTAGTTTCGGCTATGTGCAAAAACCCTGTTTTTCCTGAAAACGCGTCCAAGCCCTGGAAAATAAGCACACTTCACATTCTAAAACCATATGGCGCCTGGTGCGCGTGTCACCTGGTTGCGCTAAGTTTTTTTTTGATGAACGCTCCATGAAGAGTTTTAATGGATATTCTTTACGTTTACAATACCTTTATTTAATCGTTTTTCCCTGTTATTGACTTTAACCTAGCCAATTTTTCAAGATAAAGCAGATTTCATAACTGATTCTTCCATATG